TTTGAAAGTCGGAAGCATATATATAATTTGATTACCATGTCTGTTATATATGTTATGCCAAAGGCCCACATGTGTACGGATAAAACGTCGGAAAATGTGATGTGTTCACCGGGTGGGCTTAGGGCACTTGGTTTCCGCTGCGTTCCTTCTGACATGGGTCACCTTCGTTGTGGTTGCTGCTTGACTGGTTCCTGACAATGGTTCGTTTTAAGTGATGTGACTTGTATATGACCGTATGTCTTCCTCTAACTCTCCGACGAAGACCACTAATGTGTATATATCAGTTTCACAGGATTATCTAGAGATGGGTGTGATTCCCTGCCTTGAATATTGATCCGTAGACTTTTGTACGTTTGAGCTGCTTCGTTCCGCGTTACGAAGGAATATTTCAGTGCTTGTGACTTATGAGGTTGTAGGGCATCTCCTGGAGGAGATGGGGAGACTCCTTAATCGGTTCAGCGTGTGTGTGGCATTGCAAGCATTTCAATATGTTGGCACAAGTTCAGTGTACAGTCGGAAGTACTTGATTATGTTGGTCCAACCTGAACCCCAGTTTGATGCATCTTACACTGATCGTAATTGCATTTTCTTTGTGTTTGTAGAAGCTCAGATGAATGGTTAGGTCATCTGCACACGCAACTGCCTCAGGGATTCGTTGGAGTAAATAATCAAAAGGGTTATTCCATATTAATGGTCCAAGGAGGCTGTCTTCTGGAACACCTGTATTAATTGAGTATTAATTGGAGGTTTCCCTCTATCCGTAGGCTCTTGGCTTTCGAAAGGTTATTAAGCCAGTTAGTAACAAATGCACTCAATATGTCTAGTGCAGTCACCCGAGTGTCGTAACCGCTTTCTAAACCCTGGCTCCATTTCTCGGAAAAGAGCAGTAGGTGGTCTGATAATGACGCGAATAAAATAATCGGATACTTTCGAAGTGCTCGCACAACTTTTAAGTAGATTTAGTTCGAAGAAAATTAGGTTAATTGGTGGTTATTTCGTTGCCATTTGGAATCCTTTTTAATGGACCGTACAGTCCTTGCAAATCTACATAGAGAAGGCCAGCATGCCTTTGAGAAGCACTCTGCGAAAGTGAGTGTGAGAGGAAGGACCACTTCCGCAGCACATGTACCGAAATGCGATGTAATTCTGTCTGGACCAGTGCCTTTATTCACAATGTGTTGCTAGAATTCGGTGAACATTCTCTTACGCGCTCGCTTTCTCTACTCTCCATCTCCCTTTCTCCTCTTCTTGTCTGGGGAAAAAATTGGAGAAGGTGACTGCGAGTAAATAGGACGGGAGGTCGACACCCCTCGGTCGATGAAACGTTCAATCCGTTGCTATGCCGCACGCCACTAAAAGCAAACCGCGTTTGTATTTGGTTTCGTTTCCACTTTAGCCATATGAAGAGTAACTATTCTGGGTACAATCTTAAATGACATTTTTTATTATTATTACAGAAAACCATTTAAGGCATTAAACCCCTGTGAGCGCGGCTGTCGCACGGTGGCCGCGTGGTTCGGCCAGAAGAGATGCCAGATCTCGCGAGCTGACGCCTCGTGGGGTTCTCACGCGCGCGCGCCCCCGTATATGTAGTTTCTATAATATTTATTTATATGAATATATGAATTATATGTATGCATGCGTGGGTGCACGCACAAGCACGCACGCTTTTGATTGTTCTTCCCTGGTTTCAATACAGATAAGCCAAGCTCAGGGAACCCCGTCTGTTAGATTTGAATCAGATAACTGTAAATTGATACACAATTTTGGTACAACGTTTTTAGGGCTATTTTTGCTTTTCATCTTTTTACTATGTCCGCTTGTTCTTGTGTTCAGAATTATAAAGTTGCCTTTATTTTTTATTTTTTTCACTTCCTGGTGTGTGTGTGTGTGTGTATAAGCATTGATTTCTTTCTTTTAAGTAGTCTCCTTGCCGCTGCACTGTGCTATAGATTAGATCTTACAATGACTATAATGGTCTTTATCATATCTTCGTCCACATGAATGCCATCATGGTTGTAGTCAGTCCTAGTATGTTAAGGACCTTATCATTTACATGATCATCTGGGTTTGATTTTGTAGTTACAGGTAAGACTTCCAAGGTCCCTATCCCTATCTGATTTTTTTAATTATTATTATTGTGTCTCCTAACGCGTTCATATAAGGATTATTTTTCTTACTCCGAACGCAACAACATGGTGTTCAATTCCATTTTCCAAGCATAACTCCACATGAATAAGTTCTCAATGTCCCTCTGGAAGTATTGGTGTGAGACGTCTGTTGCCCTTTGTTATGGTTTGCGTTTGCAAACATTGTCACATAGCTACCTGGGCTTATGTTTGACCGTAAATCATTAATGAAAAAAAAAATAATCGGCGCCAAGTCCTACCCTTGAGGTACCCCGTTAGTTACTCGTTTCCATGTAGAGTGATTCCCTCCAATTATTGTTTATTTGTCTTTCATTCAGGAAGTTTTTCATCCATTCTAGTAGTTTATTTTTCACATGTTATAATATCAATGATAGAACAGTGTGAGATACCTTAACAAACGCTTTTTTTTAATCTTATATACGCACAATCTACCCAGTTCTTGTAATATCTCAAAAAGTCATAAGGAATTGAGATTTGCTACACATGGCTTACCCTCCCATAAATCAAATTGCTTTTCTGACATGTTGTGTTTTTCAAATACTTCAACGTTTCAATTTATCTTTTTTAGAAGCACCCATGTTACACAGGTTAACGGAACTGGTCTGTAATGGTGAGGTTTTGGGTCATATTTAAGGGTGTATTATTCACTACTTTCCAAGCTTTACCCCCTTACCCGTTTACAAATAGGCATTCGTAAACGCGCATTCATATCCCGTGTCACGCCCCAACCCACCTCTATGTTCCTCCTATATTGTTCCTCCTCCAGTCCCACATATCCTAGCATCCTGCACCCGCCTTTCCTTACTTGTCCTCTCTTCCCTTACCCCTCACCCCGTCGAACATCCTCACGGAGTCCCCAACCTTTTCAATCGACAACCTATTCTCCATCCCTCAGATGCATAAATACCTTTCATTTGATCTATTCACCCATTGTTCTTCTATCAGTCCCTAGCCTACCCCCATTTACTCCCCCTCTGTCTACTCATTTTACTACCTACCATCTTAAAATACCATAACTGTTGAAATAAAACATTTTGTCCTAATAAAGAACCCTTTTAAACCCCTTGCAATACTTTACCGTAGTGCTGTGTGACCTTTGATATCCAGTACATTTATTTGTTTAAAGCATTAACCATTAACAGTTCCAAGCTTTTGTTTGTTCTCCTTGTCTCATTGATATTTGGAATGGTAGTGGCAAAGGTGCATTTACTATACATCGTGTATGTGGCGCGCGCGTGCGCGTTACCTTAAGGAACTAGGGTGTGTAGTCTACGGCCAATATCGAAGGTTGTTGAAAATTATTCTGCGGTCTGGCATGATCACATGCGCTAAAAAAGTTTAATCGCTTAAACATGGGATTTATAAAACTTAAAAAATATTAAACAAGGCAGTATTCTGTAACTTTTATTGTGGACGTTCATGTGGTGATATTTTTACCAATTGCATTAAGACGCCTGATGATTTTAATAATCACAAACGGCAAAATGGTCATTACGGTTATTACATGGGTTAAGTAGGTAGAGAGCGTTATGTGTTATTTGGGCTGGTTTGTGATTAACAGGAAGAACAAGTATGGAGTAAAAGCCAGTGATGATGTTTCGTGAACAATACGTATCTTTTTTCGTTGGATATTCTATGGACACACTATTCTGATTAGATCCAGAGATATCCCCAGATTTTGTGGGCGTGCTGCTCAGGCCCCATGCAGGATATAACCAGCAAGCCACAAAGGGGAGAGAGGGAGCGAGAAGATTATCGATTAACCTCCGGGAAACGCGATGGCAGATGTCGGATACCGTCAAGGGAAAAATAGAAACACCATTCTAATGTAGTATAGCGCGATGGGTTTAAGTGCACCCAGGATTGTTGGCAGAGGAATGAAAGGCAGAGTAGTTTATCAAAAAGGGAATGGAGGTTGCAGTTCCGAAACCTGAGGTAATAGGCCCCATACGCGTTCAAATTGAACTACGCAAACTGCCAACCAACACAAACCGGTTTGCGCAAGGCGAGACCGTTGCCCATACACTTTTCAGTTCGGCTGTGCGAATTTGCTCAGTTCCGCCGTGTTCTTGTAGATAGAAAATGGTGGTGGGTGAAAATGTTGTGCACCTACTTGCTCTAGTCTCTTCAGCTACTTACATGCACCAGGAGAAGGAGAAGAAAGTCCATGAATAATTTGATACCCTGTTACACCGTGTTTCGTCCTTCAGGGTAAACACCACTCTCTCTCTCTCTCTCGCTCTCTTTAATTCTCTAAGTACTCTACTTTTAGCTTTTTATGAAGGTTGTTTGTAATACAGGTCTATAAATTAGCACAAAACCTCACGCTCTTCAATACTATCTGTCATATCCTGGAAAAGTTTACCCTCACGATACAGTGAGTCTTGATTCCCTATATAGGCTTATAATTGACCTGCATAAACCTGGTTTTGCGCATGCTTTTTTTAGGAATGATTGAATTAATGCAGGCCATACTCGGAACTGGGCGCGTGAGAAATAAGAGTGCGAATAAATTTATAGAATTGCAAGCGCAGGCGAATCGATAGGAAGCAAATTTTATAAATGATGCTGGGGAAATATTGATCTCGTGAAGAGCAAGAAAATCACCAAGGCCTTCACGAAAAGAGAAAAGAGAAGATTGCATGAGAGCAATGATGTTTTTGGCGTAGCAGAATTGGGCTGAGATAAACGGTAAGAGAGGAGGCCTGTTTCGACCAAGCCAGAGGACGACTAAACCTAACCTGTAAAGGAAATAAGCGAAGATCCGTCACAGATCTTAGAGAGCTGCTCGTTCTAGAAGTGGGTGGGTGGATGCACTTTGTACTATAGGAAAGAAATAAAATGTATCTGTAATGTTACCCGGTTTATTTCCCCGCCATTGAGACGGATTATCGTGTGTACCCGACATAATATAAATTGTTCTTCCTTTTGGCGGTACTCAAAATGTAAGAAAAAAAAAGATTGCTGTTAAATTCGATTTCCTGATATCTTTTCCGGAAATCTCTCAGTGAGTAAAAGAAAAAGTGTTACATCAATGAAGCTGTAAATAATTAAAAATTAACCTTAATTTATTGCTTGGAATTATCTCAATGTGATAGATTCGGAAGATATAGAGGATAAATTGCCCGATGATGATTAAAATAAATACAAATTAAAGCCTTTCTCTGTTTATATGATAATGCACACTAAGATTTATGCCACACAAAACCATGGATCATAAATGCACACATTGTATAATGCTTCCTCATTTTAGTTTTCTTTTACTAAAATATATATATACATATATATATATATATATATATATATATATATATATTTTTTTATAAACCCATAGAGTCATCTGATGTAATTTGTGTTGTTAACAATGCCGCAATCCTAAAGGCAAAGTTCTTGTTTCCCAGTAATGGTTGACGTAAAAAAAAAAAAGCTCAATAGACTTGTTGAAACAATGATAACAATGCTACAATAACAGATTACAAACTAAACACATGGTAAAATCCTTGTCTAACATGCCTTCTGTCCATATATATTCACAGAGCAAGTAAATTCACTACTGTTTTTGTGTCTAAAGGTAAGGCTATCCATTGTGCCTTTTTCGGTCATTGTAATAATATAGGATGAGGATAACTTTTAATTACGATTTTGTTTTGTTTTTTTAGCAGAGTTATGGGGGTTTCAGATAGCAATGGCAACGGTATAAATCATTATAGCAAATTATAAAAATAACGTCATCTTGTTACAAAAGTAGAAATGAGGAACGCCACAGCCGCTGTCAAATAATGTTGCCATGACATAAATTATCATTATAAAACATCAAATATTGACGGGAGCTCTGCTCACATTTGGTCAGTGTTAATAATTATAAAACATTTAACTTAATTACCTGTTCCCTTCCACCGACCCCTTTTTTCGCTCAGAAAAAAGAGGACGTGAACAAAATTTCTGTTACGTATTTACAAATGAAGCAGTCTTATACACCAGCAGTGTGACACATTCACGCATTTGATTTGTAATTATATCTGTCCAACAAATTAAGCTGGTTCAGGGTCGGACGTCGGGGCTGGAGTGTAATGAGCAGAGGTGGTCACGGCGGCTTCCCGTTTTCCTTTACTCTTGCTCTTGTTCTTCCTGTGGCATGAGAGAAAACGAAATTGAATATTGAGAATGTCATGGTAAACTTTACGATTTTATTAGGCAATGCTATGAAAGGGCAAGAAAGAAAAGGGATAGAACTTAAATGTTGTTACATACATGTGCTCAGGCGGCAAGGAGTCTATCAGTACCCTAGTGATCGATCCTGATTTCCGCATTCCTTGATTTGGCGGGAAAATGTGTTTTTTTATTCTTAATAAAGTTGATATCGATAGCCTACTGTTATTATTGTTATTGGTGTTAAGATTATTAAAATGTTATCAACATTTC